ACCATCATTCTCAGCAAACTGACACAAGAACAGAAAATCAAACACTGCATGTTCTCACTCATAAGTGGGTGTTGAACAATGAGAACACATGGACATAGGGAGGGGAGCATCACACACTGGGGTCTGTTGGGGGGAACTAGGGGAGGGACAGTGGGGGATGGAGAGTTGGGGAGAGATAGCATGGGGAGAAATGCCAGATGTAGGTGATGGGGAGGAAGGCAGCAAATCACACTGCCGTGTGTGTACCCATGAAACAATCCTGCATGTTCTTCACATGTACCCCAAAACCTAAAATGCAATAAAAAAAAATTATTCCCTCCCATAACCCTGGGATTCTTGAAGCAAGAAATTGTTGTAATCATCTCAATTCCCAGCGACTATCAGATCAATAACTGCTAATGTTTCTTGAGCCCTTAATAAACAACAGGCACTTGGTAAGAGTTTTGCATGGACGACTGCATTTATTCCTTGTCACACACCTCAATGCAAGCACAGAGCTGATATTCTCCCAGTTTTAACAGGTAAGTAAACAGGCCGAGGAATTTAAGCAATCTGCCCAAGATTAACAGATAGCAGGTGGTAGAGTCAGATTGTAATTTAACAATCTGACATGGTTTTTGGATAAATGAATAAATGAATTTATTGAACATGTGGACCACTGTTTTCTACAGGTTCTAGAACAATGTGAACGAGTGAACTTGAACAAGTTCTCTTTCTCTAGGCCATAGTTTCTTTATGCTCCCTCGTACCATGACACTTTGTCATTTGTTTTTAAGTTTTAGTGATTTTTAAATACAAAGGAATATATTATTAATTTTTATTGTAAGAAAGCATTCAAACACCACAGATTAAGTCACATCTACTTTTTCCTTTCCAGAAGTGACTGTGATTTATGGGTGCGTTTCTTTCTTCCAGGCCTTCCATTCTTTTTGTACAAATGTCAGCATATTTTCTGTAAGTTTCTGCAATTTGTTTTATTCATTTATGTTTTATGACTTTTCATGCTAGTACTTACAGATCTACATCTTTCTTTCTTTCTCTCT